GGTGAACAAAATTATCCGAGCTGCCACCGTCCAGGAGGATCTGTACCTTCATTCCCTGAATCATCCCATGGAATCAAATGGTGGCAGGTCCTTGCGTCCCACGCAATGCATGCAACGATAGATGGTGTAGCGTGGCGTTGGCTTCTACTATTGCCATGCCTTCCGTGAGCTCCTAGGTAACGGCCTCTTCTGCCACTTCCTTTCCGCCGTCCTCGAGCTCGTCTTCTCCCAAAAGCATCATAAGTTGTTTATTGGGACATCGATGAGTCGGGGAGAACTTCGCATCACACGTATAACATAACCCCTTTTCCCTTCGAACTTGCATTTCAGCTGGTGTGATTTTCCTGATCGGCGGTGCCTTAGGTGTTGGTAAAAGCGGTGGTAAGTTAGCCTTACCCCCTCCGGATGACACTGAGGATGTTCCCCCCGCGTTACTAGGATGGTACGGTATTATAGACTTGCTTGGACTCGCTGTAACGATTGGGAGTCGGGGTGTAGATACTCCGCTTGTAACAGGCTCTGCAAACAATCGGGCTAAGGCCATGGCGCTTAGTACTGATCCTGGTCGCTGGACCAAAACATCACGTTTCAAGTTGGGAGCCAGTCCTCCCAAATAACAGTCGAGTAATGCGGGTTCAGTCACCTCTTCCGTGCGATTAGCCAGAGCAATAAACTTTTGATTGTAGTCGTCCAGGTTACCTCCTACTTCCCTTTGGGTCAGTTTGAATAGTTGTGCTCTGGGGTAGTCGAATCGCGTGGGTCCATATTGGACCTCCACCGCCTTGGTCAGAGCGTACCAGTTCGGTATACGTCCGGACCTCTCCACCATCTGGTACCAAGGAAGCACCTCTCCATCAAAATGCACGGAGGCGATCAGAGACCTCTGTGCGTCGGGTATCTCGTAGTACTTGAAATATTGCTCTGCTTTATATATCCAGTCTAGTGCCTCTGTTCCATTAAATCTCGGAAAATCCATCTTAACAGTCCTACCCGGGAAGGCATAACTGATATGTTGGCCCACTAGCGCATCCGACGACGGTGAACCGTCTTTGCTTGCACTTTGCGATGCTTCAGTCCGCTTGTCTTGATTGTCCGCCCTCTGTACCAGCGTCCGCAACAATGTCTCCAATGAGTCAAACCGTTTGTCTATTCCATCAAAATGTTCCCGTGCATCATCAATAAACTCATGGGTCTTCTTCATATCAACCTGCAGCTCCTTCAGTCGTGTGTTCTCCGCCATTTGAGTCTCTCAATGAAAGCACCAAATGTCACGTTTAAATTTAGAACTACACGAATTGATCGATATAACCAGCTCTCAATGCTTATATTAATGGATATCACGGTTACAGAGCTTATTCAGAAGGGATGAGAGCATTACAGTAACAGAATCACAAAAGAACGGGGAAGAGGCCAGAATGAGATTCGCGAGAGAGAGAGAGAGACAATCCAAATCATTCCACACCTATTCTAACTAACTTTGTCGTATTTATCCTGCAATGCCCTCCAGGTCCCTTAGCTTCCAATGCTTTTTCCTGATCCGATGGCTTCTTCTAATCGGATTGGGCTTTGTATTCACCTCTGGGCTTCCATATTCTGGGTCCATTCCTCTTGCGTCTGTTACATTTCCGTAGCAGCAGATTGCTCCTTATCGGTGTACAGAGCACTGTCACAGACAATCACGTAAATAAAAAACAGAAAGAAATATAATAATCAAAAGTATAAAATAAACATGTAAAATAAGCATATAAGGCCAGAAATATGCTTGTATGCTATAATGATGTGAGAAAAAGCACATTTCTTCTTCGGGTTATTCAAAGCACAAATTTCATAAACTAAAATTCTATAATGATGTAACTCTATTTATGTGAACCACCTGATATTGACAAAAAATATATGATTGTATGCTAGAGACGCATGAGAAAGAACAGTAAGCAAACTAAGAAATTTAGATTAATTAATTCTATTGATTAAGTTTTTATATTATGATATTTATTATATCCTAGGACTAGATACGGATATTATGTTCTATAAGAATCTTTTATCATACCTTACCTATTTTAAAAGAATAAATATAAGATATTAAGACTAGATTTGATTAGATAAGATTCTAAGTTTAGCTTATTAGTTTATCATTTGCCCACATAAAGGCTTATTCATATTCTTATCGATTCAAGGATTAATAATAACTCAAAGGCCCTATTTTCCCTCTATCTCCAATACTTCAAATTCTACAAACTCTATGATCGCAACTTTACCGCACAAATTACACATCTATATGTGTATACACATATATAAAGCATCATTGCAAAATTCCTAACATTCATTAAAGACTATCATAATGCATATAGTTGTCTAATTAAACACGTAGCTAGTCATATGTGAATGTTGTGCATTGCTAACAGAGATATTGTTCAATGTCTTGTAAAATAGATTCAGATATTATTTGATGTCTTGCAAAATGCATTCAGATGTTATTCATTTCTTTGGGAATACAGCCAACAGAATCGCATTAAACTACATAGACAAGCCATTCATAATCTCTTTTGAAATATTAAGAACATATCTCTTATTAGTAGACATCCAACAAATAAAAACCACATTGAACCTCGTTATGCTAATGCAAATTCGTTGTCGACCAAAGAAAATTTCAAAAGAAAAAATAAAAGAGTTTGCCTCAATGAAAGAGAAGGAATACATTACCAAAAATCAAAGATTCTTCAACAGATGAACAAAGTGAGGAGATTCACTACAACTACATTGACCTTCAACAATAAGGGCGATGAGGACGGCTTTCAACAACTCCGGTGATGATTAAGAGAATTTTGGCTAGTTGCTTCAGATGAGAATATGTTCTTGTGATGAGAGAAGTAATTGAGCGATTAAAACAGGAATAGGGCTTCAAAATTGCAAGACATTTAGTGTGTATTAGTAAGGGCAATGGGGTTCTTTCACAATTAACTCAATTGCAATTAATAAGTCCCTTTGGGACTTCAGATTAATTTGCAAGTTTCATGGGATTTTTTTTGCAATATTTTATGTTTTTTGAAACATTCAGTGCATAAGGGCCTATCCGCGCAGTCGGACCAGAACATATTTGCAAATAGAGAAGAGGGGGAGAGCTGAACGGAAAAGGATAGCTCCACGTAGACATCTTTGCAAATATTAATCTAGATGCAATATGTACACGTGCTAATAATAATTATCATCAGAGTAGAACACGGAGAAAGCTCTTTTGTTTCTATCACCATCCCAAACATCATTTTTTTTAATGCATTTAGCTTTTCCCCACCTTTGTCTCAATTGCAGATTGATTATTCCAAACACAGAAATCGCATCACTCCATGTGTCAACCTCACATCTTGGTGTTATTGTGAAGACATTATAGAAATGATTCATAGCTTATGCTTTAATTAATAGAGTTGTCCCTTATCCCAAAAAAGGGAAAAAAAAAAAAAGGATCGAACCCAGCTCATCGACAAGTCAGTGATTGTGTGAGGTACTAGATGATATTGATGATTGTAAAGTATAGTCATGTGGCATCAGAAGAAAATCTTTGTAACCAACCAACACAAGTCTGTTCTATTGTTATTATTTACTTTACTGTATGGTTGATTGAGAATGAGAAGGATTGAGATTAGAATTGAGAAAAACTATTATGAGTAATTGTTTGTTCCATGAGATTATTATTTGTTACACAAGATTATATAATCCCATGTGAGTGTGATTGAGAAATATTACATCTCTCCTCATGGCTCCTACCTATAAGGGTTTGCTTTCAGGTGACGAACAATTTCTTATATTAAACAGTCGTTTAACATTTTTTTAATCCCAATCATAATTCTTACTGCTCATTTTTAATGCTTTGTATCAAACAAAGTCTATAGGTACAAATTTTTGTAGTCCCATGCATGCAATTAGATTCAAGCATCTAACATTTTAAAATGACAGAAAAAGAAGTAAATCTAAATTAGCATTTTGAAATTCAAGAGAAATGATAAAAATGTACTTTATTTTTTTTCAAAAAAAGAAGAAAACAAAACAGTTCAACCCCTTGTCGGATATCATGTCGACGGCGGCCCCCAATGGCTTTCGGTGTTTGGAAAGCGGCGTAGTTAGGGGATCAAATCCCACTAACCTCACTTTCCTCCCTTTAAAAAAAATTCCTCTTGTAAAAAAGGAAAAACATCCCCACTAGTGGCTAGCACTAGAGTTCTGGCATTGCTGGGCAGCTAGCCAGTAGCCGGGTGCTGACGAGGGGGCAAAACTTCTTTTATATAAAAAAAATAAAATAATATTTTTATCATTTTTCTTGAATTTCAAATTTTCAATTTCAATTTACTTTCTTTTCTGGTCTGAATTGGAAAATAATAATTTCACTATTTTTTTCCCGAATTTTGTTGTATTCAAAAGTCCAATGAATGCTTTAAAAAAAAAAAAAATCAGAATCTTGCCCAAACAAAGAAGAGTGCGTGTGCGCTCGCTTTTTTTTTTGGGGGGGGGGGATATAGTAAGCAAATCGATCATGAGTGTAAAAATACGAAATTTCTAAATTTCAATTTGATACATGGGGAATAATGATCTGGCATTTGTCAAATTCGAGTCACTAATTTGGGTTTTCCAAATTTTAGGGGCTATTTATCTAGAGTTTTTCTTATTTTAATTAAGGATTTACATATACACACATGATTATTGCAGGTGATTCAAATAAAGGACGTTAATCATTACAAGGTAATCATTGACATTGAAATTGAATTAAACATTGAACTTGACTTGAGCACCACACATTGGCGATGCTAATTTGTGACTCGTTCGGACACTACTAGCCACAAAATTTCCTGGAATGACACGTTCCTAAGTAGAAGTATGTTTGAGACTTATTGTTGCTACAATACTACCCATTTCTTATTTTTTTTACTCTGATTAACTCTCTAAAAATATATTGTATGTATTTGCTTGCTAAATGCAGAAGATATAAATCCTGTTTATTTCTGCTCATCGTCTTAAAATTTTTCTGATATTTCATATGTTTCGCGTAGAAACGGAACGGAGCCTCAATGGTTTATATATTTTGTTTACATATGAATAGTGATGCACCAAACACATAATGGTTACCATGAGAACAGGGGGACCAGTGATGCATATCAAAATGTAAAGTGGAAGATTTGAGTATCAATTAAGTTACATTTATTTTAACCATAGATGGTTAATATATTTCATATCCTGATATCTCCGCCCTGCGTTCAAGCCATACCCCACCTGAAAACAGAGGTAAACATACAAACAAATGGAGGATGAGAAGGTATATACTTACAAATCCAAAGATGAATGTAAGAGGAATTATCTTAGTTTAAGTTGAACTAATTCATCAAAAGGTCTCAGTCTTTTGGTGTTTAGGACAATGCAATGCAACGTTTAAGCATTAATCCCATTTATGTCTAACAGATAAAGGACCCTTCTCCTCAATGTCTTAAACTCAGGCATGATATAATATTGGTTTTCCTTCCAAATTGGATAATTTCATGAAACTATACTGAACCAAAAATATAATCAATCCTTCTGAAAGCATGAAGAATGAAACCAATAATCCATCAAAAAATATTAAAAGAACAGGTTAAAAATTAAAGTGAGAGGGATGTAATTCAGCAATATACATGTTAATCTTGCACCATCATTACATTGTCCTGCCATTTACCTCCAAGTTAATTTGCTAGCGAAATTGTCTCTTCCTATATATGTCCTCTTGTCTATAAGACTCTAAATTCTATCATTCCTCTCCGTGTTCATGTCCAACCTTCTCAGTATCTTAGCAACAAGATATATATTTCTGTGTTTCACCCAACATCTTATTAGCCAAATTCTAAATATGCAAGCATCAAAAGCACATATGCATGCAGTGAAATTATAAATATTAAGTAGTTCAACTTTTTTCCCCCCTTGACTACTTCTTTTCCAGCACAAAAAATATCTTTCATTGTAATCATTCCAGAGGCACTCTACCAGATTATAATATTCAATCATTAAACAAGAAATTCATTCCAGATCTGCTTCACATAATGCTTTTTATTTTATAGAACAGAAACCCCTTTTCAACTACAACAGTCAAATCAGTTCAACTTAAATTAGTGAGCACCGTGAACACTTTAATGAAGGATTCACAGTAATCAAATACCTTGCTAAGTGCTAGACACCGAAGGGGCATCACCCACGAGCTTAAAATCCTGCACCTCCTTTGAGTTCAACCATGGCTTCTCCAAAACCTTGGCTTCATAAACATTTTTCTTCCCACCGTCCGTTGCCTCCAGCGTGATGTGGTACAAGGTACCAGCAACCACCTGCTTTTTTGTGTTTATAACCCTCCCAAACTCCAGAAGTGCATTCTGCATAAATATGGTAAATTTAATTAGAAAAAAATTCAATTAAAAAAGGATACAAAATTTACAATTGAAATTTTCCATTCTCAGATATTACATATCTAGAATTCAATAATACATTACGAGAAATGCATGATAACATTGGAATTTAATTCAAGCTCCGAAACACTAAAACAACCATTAACATCAGCAAATCAAAATGCGGAAACAGATTATCAGTCGACCCTAAACAAATTTAACATATCGGATTTCTCGGGAAACAAAGAAATGCGAAAGGAATACCAATTTGGGAGTGAGAGAGATCGAAGAAAAAGAAAAAGAAAAAGAAAAAGAAAAAGAAACCTCTTTTTTGTTGTGCTCGTCGACGGCGAAACGAGCAAGATTGTCGATCTCAAGGCTGTTCTGGTTTCCTTCAACCTCACGAACACCACCCAATGCTGCCATTTCGCTTTACTCTCTCTTCGATTATTTGATCTCTTGCTTGATAGTCTTCTTTTCGGAGTCCTCCTCTGCCTCCTCTTTTATATCATTTCTCTGGTTAAAATGGCGCCATCGAAGGAGATCATCTGCGGGACAATCCATTATGGAATCGTGTACACGCCAGCGTGTCACCAATCAAATATTTTCGTACGTTTTACCGAGGAGGATCAACGACATGTAGTCATTGGGTAGCTAAGGGGAGCACATGAGGCGATTGCGTCCTAGCTTTCTTCTTTTCTGAGAATTGTGGGTTGTGGAAGGGCATTATGCAATTTAGTAGTGGCGAGTAATCACCTTTTGCTTTATTTTAGATTTCTTCTTCTCTTTTGTATAATTAGATATAGAATTTTGCACCAAATATTCACACAAGTTCAGCAACTAATTGGCTTTTCAACTGAGTTGTAAGACTCTGTCATTTATCCTTGAAATTTGACGCTAAGTACTCCACTGATTCTAAATATAAGACACATTTTATTGTATAAATTATACTATAAAATGGGTACTCCTTCAGTCCTAAATATAAAACCTATTTTGTAGTGTAAATTATACTCCTCCGGTCCTTATTATAAGACCCAATTTGACTTTTTATTTGGTCCTAATTATAAGACCCAATCCATTTTGTCTCTTATATTTATGTATTTTTTTCCAAGATAATCCTTCTAATAATGATAGTTTTAGCCAATATACTTAATTAGCAAGGATATTTTAGGAATGACAATACTTATTTATTATAAATAACCAACTTAACTTACTTCCTTAATTTCCTCAAATAAGTCAATTGGGTCTTATAATTAGGACCGGAGGAGTACTATAAAATGGGTTTTACTGCAAAATAGGTCTTATACTTTGAATCGGAGAGAGTACATAACAATTATTAGGTTAATCCCCTACATAATTAGGTAAGTTTATCTTCTTTTAATATTATTTTGACTTTCATAAAAAAATTAGTAAATTAAATAAGTAATTTTTTTAATTATTTGATCAAGTTGAAATTGAGATGGCATTTCGGGCGGGTGAAGACCCGCACGCTCCTCATTTCCGGGTTTATTCCTTTTTGGGGCGGGTCATTTCAGGTTTGCAAACACTCGAAGAATCACGAACCGCGAAAACTGACCGATCCAAGCATTCGAGGTCCGACATTCTTCTACAGTTATGTTCTTTCGCCTTGCGCTGTAAGAAGGAAGTCCGCAAAGCACTGCGAAACGAGCTTCGACCTTAGCTCCAATGGCTTCTCCAACTTCAGAGGCAGAATCGGCTGGAAATAGAAACCTTCTCTCTCTTTACTCCAACTATATCTGGAATCGTCTGCACGGTTTGTATGCATTCATCGGCACGTTCTACAACCTTCATAACGTGGCTGCTCGTTTTAGATCACGCAAACGTCGGGAATGCCTCCCTCTGCCATTGCCTTCCAGCTCGCTGGACTCTTCTTTGTATGGTCATTTGACATTCATTTATAGCTTTGTTTTGCCTGCGAGATATTCAGTGAGAGTGAATTTGTTAAGTGTCATGTTGAGCTCGTTTGGTTGTTCCTTGACTTGCAGTGATAAATTAACTCTGAATTCAGTGTCTCTATTTGAAGATATTTGCAGTTCCTGTGTTCTTTTTCTCATTGCTCTGGCCATTGGGCTCCTAGCAAAGATTAGCTGCCATAGACTTTGAATGATTTCAATCAATGAAATATGCAAAGTTTATAATTGCACGATACTGAATGATTTATGGGGTTCCTTGCGGGAGAAAGAGGACTTGTTTCATTCCACTCAACCGCTTCCTCGCTACCCACATTGAATTGAGTTAATAGAAATTTGAGAAGAAATGAACTTCAAAAACAATTTTGCATGTCATTTCACTTGTTCTATAATGAATATGCTGATTCAGAAGTTTGGCGTCCTTGCATCGCAGGTTTATGAGTAAGCCATCTAGAGCGTATGATGTTTTGGAGGATATATTTGAACATGTTCTGAAAAATTTGCATAGCATTCAAAAGAATCTGCAGTTTTGGCAGTCCAGAGCGGAGGTTAGTGTTTTTTTTTTTTTTTTTTTTGGGGCTGTGTTTAGGCTGTAAAGCCAATAATGTTCATTGAATGCACTTCAATAAGTCATTGTAAACTTTGTTGGTTCCTTGTTTTCGTATTCAGAAATCAGATGCTAGCAAAGCATATTTCATGATTCTTGAGAGAGGTCCAAGGGCTTTTATTGATGAAACAGTTCACTTGTTGCGTGGACATGAAGCTAATGGTTCTTCCATACAGCAGCTGAGTCAATCTGCATCTGTCTATATAAACGAGAGAGTAACTGTCTTAAGTACCTTAAGATATTCACTTGCCACGTTCTTGGCTCAGGTTAGCAGTTTGCTTCATCCAACTGTCAGCTAGTTTGTGTTAATATCATGATGGTCTTACTCTCAACCATATTATTTCTTTCTTCCTCTTGTTTAGATTGGTAATTCTATGCGATGTAGGCATGTATGGTTGTCCTTTAACATGGCTATATTGGACATTTGAAGGCGCTATTGCTCATGATATTGATTGGATTTTTGGATCTAAATATTCTAATATAATGGCGATTTTGTTAGCTATCTTGAACATTGTCTTAATATTGTTGGTTGTAGCAAATATGAAAGAGGGTTGAGCTATCAATCCTCCTTAATATTCCCTATGTGTTGCTGAACCAGTTTGGCTGATTGGTCAGGTGGGGTTCCAGTGTGAGTTCTGCACTTGCTAAAAGTAATCTCATATTTCTAACACTGCCCCTAGTTTCTCTCATAACAGATTTGTTATGAGTCAATGGTTTAAGTGGTTGACTTATTTAACTAGTTGACTTAGTTCCTCTCATGACAGATTTGTTATGAGTCAATGGTTTAACAGGTTGAATTCAGTCGACTCATGAATTTGTTGCAGTTTGAAAATATTGTATATCCAGCTGGATACTGGTGGTGTTAAAATGGATTATTTTGTGCTGCCTCATGAGTGTTCAATCCTAAGTTTCTCTGGTGATTTTCTTTGTTGGCCTGTCAGAGAGATTGAAGGGCTTATTTAGATATTAATGTATATTGTTGGTGGGATAATAGAATGTATTGATTGGTTTGGTGCAAGAGTATTCTGCCAATTGAGAACAATGTTTTTCTTCCTGGGACAAAATTGTGTTCAATTAATTATGAAAATTGTGGAACTCCTTGACAAAATGGTGCAGTTAACCTTGAAACCCGTGCTTTTGGTTAGCTTTTGCCTTTTGTTTTTCTTTTTTGTCTTTTTTGTTCATTGGTCATGGAAGGACTCTGATGATCTATTTTTTCTATTGATGCAATCTTTTATTAAAGGGGGAATGAGAGGGAGAATTATGATTTAGCGACAACTATTAGCAAACGACTTTTTATTATGGAAAAAAAGCTTATGAGGTATTAACGGTGAATAAGATTGGATAGTTTTCTTTTATTGATCCCCCTCCCCCCTTTCCTTTTTTCTTCTTTTGTTTTTGGTCATTTCTGGAGGATTTCCTATTATCCTGTAATAAAATGATGCCACTGAGGTATCCCCAACCAATGCCTTATCTTATTCACTCTATCTTGGAATATAGCTTCATGATTCAGTCCGCAGAGGCTTCAAATAGTGCTCTTCACATGTGGGCATGATCACTTAATTGAATTTAGTTTCTGGAACGTAACATGATTTTATAAACAAAATAGTCCAAAACTATGCTGGGAACTCAACAGAGTAGCCGAAAACCTACAATGAAAAATAAACAGGTTCAATTTAATGCATATGAGATCAATTTTATTTGAAGCCATAAATTTATTGATATTACGTCAAATGCGAAATTTCAGATTTGCCCTTAGGTTATCCTTCTTATTATGTTTGGAAAAATATTTTCAGGTTTATTTTGAAGTTGATAGAACTGGAGAGGAGTTAGTAAAGGATCCAGAGCAGAAACTGCCATCTTTATTGGGTACAATTAACGATTTGTTCACAACTTTAGAAGCATCTATTGGACACATACATGCAATGCGCCAGGTTTGCATGAACAGAGCAGCAGTTCCTCTTTTCTTGTTTCTTTCTTCATTTTGTATTTTTATTTTCTGATGTATGATTTTTTAATGCTAATAAACTGGAGGCAATTGTACTTTGCATTCAGTTTCAATACTTGTTTCCAAATCTGTTGGTTTCTTCTTGCAGAGTGATTCTTCTGTCGATGGGACCTATTCTTTTCCTCTGCTGTTTGAGAAGCTGCCGGAAATAAATCATGAGGGGTCTCAATGGACAGATTGTGAAATTAGCGATGCTATCAATTCTGTTTATCGAAATTTGCACAAGCTGGACAGTTATATTTCTGTACTTGTAAGAGCTTTTATCTATATTCTGGCATTGGCTTATGGAGGAGATAATTATCTTAATATTACCTAAATGCTTATGATTGCCAGAAAATTCATTGTATGGTATATTCCGTTGTACTCCTTTATCTACTAGCAAGTGCGGCTTTTGCAGCTTCGTAACATATCCTAGTAATACCTTTTAATATGGAAAAAAACTGATAACTATTAAAACATAATTTCTTTTTGTGGTGAAAATTTATGAACCATGCAGTGACATGCATGGCCTTGGAAAGAAGAGAAGGGGTTTGTTCTTGGTAGACAATTCAATTTTTTCTACCCACTTAATTATCAATATTTATTTGCTTTTTGGTTTAGCCACTTTTTTTTTTTTTTTGGGTTTCGCACTCCTGAGCTCATTATTATTTTTGTTGTCTTTAAGTTGTACTTTCAAAGTTGATGATTCCAAAAATTTGTAATTACGCATAAAAATGTTAAAAAGTGAAAAAGAGATTTCTGGATGATTATTTTCAATCTAAGTGCTTTTACAAGATCAGTCTCTCATCTTGAAAGTCATGTTATAGTAGAGGCTTGGGAACCACAAACATTATTCTTGAATTGCATCAATAAAAATGTTTTGGGTTAGACACTAGAAACCTGCTTGTGCTTTCATTCCCCTGATGCCCTAGCTTTGTTAGAGGGCCTTAGTCTGTCCTGACGAGATCATGACTCCTAGTTGTTGCTCAGTTGCTATGTGAAGTTGACGAAATTGTGTATTGCCGGACTGAAGTAGCCAGGGATTCTCATTTTCAACTTGTGATATATATCGAATTTAACAGCATTTTGCAGAGATTTAAAGTTAGAGCGATTGCTCACTTGGTACACTATATTTTCTTGTTTTCAATTGGCATATGCCAATTTGTTGGTGATGTAATCAAATTTTAAGATGCAATCCTCTAGTTGCCTTTTACTTTGGATATGAAATACACTGGTTGTCTTTTGTTTCAGGTTACCAAACACAGAAAGCCAAGGAAAATAACTCAATATTGGATCCGCTATTCATGTGGTGCAGTTGGTTTGTCAGTTTGCTCTATCTGGCTCCTACAACGTAGTAGATTGATGGGAAGTTCAGATATTGACAATTGGATTCGAGAAGCCAAGGACTCAACAACTAGCTTTTATACAGAACATGTTGAGCAACCGGTATATTTCTTCTCGTGTATTTCCTAATAGATTGTGTGTCACCTCTTAGTTTCTTCCACTCTGTGAGACATGCTAGTATAAAGGAAAAGCAGGTTATGGCAATTTGAACTAAGGACCTCCTTCAGAGAGGAGCTGTTCATTTCATTTTCTCATTAACCTCTTACGGTTTGTTGGTAATCTGTTGACATCTTTAATATTATTAATAAACTGAACATTCTGCTGTACCTTTTTCCATTATCAATGGGCACACTGTTTCTTCAATTTGTGTCCTTCATTCTTATTGTCTTCCCTTATATCTGTGGAAAGTGCGCTGCATTGTGCATTCTGGGGTTTTGAAATTATGGCAGTAGCTGGTAGGCAGGATGGCAACATAAAATAGATCTAGAAATCATCTACCAGATAACCTTTAGTCCCCATGGTTGATAGGCTTTGGAACAGACCAGAAATAAAGGACAAGTCATTTTAGTAATACTCATGATTGGAAAGAAAGGGGGGAAAAAAGAACCATTGCTAATTTTACTTTCTGCAGGCACAGTTATACTTGAATGCAAGTATCAACATTCTAGTATCTTCTAACCTGTAACGCACTTGCAACACTCCAATTGTCTTAAAAATGTCTACAATAACCAAGTAAAACCCAAGTATAACAACCATAAGAAAGCTTTATCTACTAGTTGGGGTAAGTTACATGGATTGCGTGGCAGCATTGCCATCGGCTACCAATAACCAAATAAAATCTGAGTAGTCCCTGCAAAAATTATTTAAAACCAACACATTATTGGAACAGATTTTTTTTTTCTCGCATCAATAAATGATAGTTTGGATGTCAAGTTATATGCTGATGCAATAAGTATCCAGCTTTTGTCTATCAGAGATGAACTTTTTGAGACATTCAGGAAGAGGCATGAAGGTATAATGGAACAAGAAGAGGTGAAGTTAACTTCCGACTCACTACACAGGTTATTGTTTATCATCTTGATATCATCTAACCTTTCCTTTCTGTGAACTAGAATAGAACCCGAATGTTGCAATATATGTTGATTCTCCCCAAAAATTCCCGAGGCTTCATATTAATTTGGGGTGTTTTATATATGCCATCTTTGCACGCTTGATGAATGAGAGAGGATACTATCATGTTAGCTAGAAATAAATTACCAAGTGGTCAATGAGTTTTTTCGCCCCACGTAGGAATATTGGCAACTAGCAAACATATATCAAAAGAAGTGAGAGGAGGATAAGTAAAGGGGAGGATAGAAGAGAAGAAGGAAGATGTGAAAAAAAAAAAAAAAGGAACGGAGAGAGGGAGCTAACAAACCATGAGAGTTTTGTTAACAATTAGTCAGAGAGGTGGCCTGTCTATATTTACTAAAGGCTTTACCTACAGCCCAAATGATAACATTTCAAATGCAAGATAATACGTAATTCTTAACAAAAAAGAAATTATAATCCTAAAACAATAATTTTAAATCCATGTTTTTAAATATTTATATTTAAATTTTTATGATCCTAGAATTTTATTTTAGCAACCATGACAATTTATTCCTAACAGAACAAATTAACCCCAATTGATTCTTAAGTAAACACTCCTTATCTTATTTAAAATCCTATTTTCTATATTTATGTATTATTCTAATTCACAAGTAATTGATGTTATCTTTCCTAGTCTATTTTCATAATCCATTATTCTTAAAATTCACAAGACTGGGCAATTTTTCATGAAATGGTTCACTGTACTGTTGATAAATGTGCACTATAAGTAATTACTAATATTCTGACCTGAAGTTATTGATTAATAAGCATATATATAATTTTACTTGTCCACAAGTGTTCCATGAACCATGCATCAAGGATGTGAAAGTTATGTTAGGATGCTGTAATAAGTGCTTGGAAATTTTGATGTTAAGCTGAGAACTGAGATGAGTTGACTTCTGATGATGTGTTGGTAGAGCAGTTTTTGGCAGCTTGGAAGCTGAAACTGATCTACACATAAACGTGGGGAAAGGACATAAATCATAAGCTATTTGCAGACAGAGATATTCTGTCATTTCCTTTGCTACTGAAAGTTAAAACAAATATACTTGGAGCTCGCTCTTCCATTTTCATTGTTTTGATATATAATGATTGCTTTGGTGGTCTTCTTTAGAATAATGATTTTCCGGCTTTCTTATATTCAATATTTGGCATCAGCCTCATCTCATATTGATGAAATTGGGTTGTAAAAGATGAGATATGTTTTTTCAGTAGCATTCCTGATCCTGTCATCTGTCTTTTAAAGGAATACTTTAAATTATACCTAATCATCAGCTTTGTCGTGTGAAAATTTGTATGCAGAATGTTACTGGCATTCAGTGAGCAGATTAAAGGTGAAAAGTTACCTGAAAACGCCTCAGATCAGGAAATGCTTGAAATAGTTATGGCTCGGTGAGTTTCGCTTTCTGTTCCATAGTTAGAACATACATTTTTCCGATAATCTCTGCTGGCAAGATATATTAAGTTAATTGCGAATTTGAATTTGTATTTGAGGTTCGAATGTGGATATATTGTCTGTTTGTGGGGCCCTTTTTTTTTTTTTTTTTTTTTAAAGGCTAAAGGTCAGTACTGTTTAGGTAAAGAAATCTTCTATTTTCACCGGATTTAGGACTGAAATGTGACTGGCTCCCAATTAATGAAATCTGGGGGTTGAAAGAGCTGCTCTGCAGAGTTTCTCACATAATTATTTCACACTAATACTTGCTTTAAAGACATCTTTTTATGAGAAACAATTGATTCTGGCAAAAAGTGGTTGAATTACTCTAGATTTCGCTAAGGTCATTCTGACCTGGGTAAATCACTATTCAGTCAAGCCACTATTCTGACCTGATTTTGAAATTGGGTAAGGATATATCCTTCTATGTTGGGTGGGTTGTTTGGACTATAACTTGTAGTAGTAATTCTAGACGGCTGAAATTGCTTTCTGATATGAGTGGTATTTATGACAAAAGAAAATATGTTTCCTTTGCAGTTTTCTTTTTTCTTAAAACTGTTGATGAATTATAGTTTTGAATTTCCCCATAGTTCAAATTTCTTTGTGATTTGATCATTTAGATTGGATGACTTGGGTTCCTTGGAAGTTAAGACACAGTAAATGATGGCTGCTTGGCCAAATGATGGTTCTAACAAAAGTATGATTCATTAACTTTGAAAATTTTAAATTTCTGAACCTGGTTTTTTTTTTTTTTTTTTGGGTGTGGGGAAATGTTTGATACGGTACATAGAAATTCTGATTTCCCTCAGGAAACATGGATGTTGATGAAAGATGGAGACAAGTATATTCAGAGAGTAATTATATTTATACGTCTTGCATTGTAGTCTTTTCCAAATTATATAATAGAAAGAAACATTTAAGTTTTTGGTTTTTAAAATATTTAAGTTAGATTCTTTGTTTGTAGCACACAAAGCGACCACTTTGGTCCTCTTGACATTGTGAACTTCATTGTCATAATAGTTCATTTGTTTTCTTTTTAACTGTTTAGGAAGGGTTCCTTGTCCCAGGTTTTGTATTTTATCAAAATTAAATAAAATGTTCTCTTTTGTTATTATTAGAAAAAATGTTTCTCATGTTAAGTAATCAGGCACTGCTAATGTAAATGCAGGTATGAGAAGGAACTGACGCATCCCATTCAGAGCCTTCTTGGTGGAGAGCTGGCTCGGGCTTTGCTTATTCAGGTAATGCCGCTTATGTAATATATGTAATTTATGTCCGAGTTTCCATGTCATTACTGATCAACAGCATTTGCCGATGCATACAGGTTCAGAAGCTCAAACTAGATATTGAGACGTGAGTTTTACAAATCTTGTCCCCTTTGTGAATACTTTTTTCCTTTTAATTTCTTAAGATGATTTTTCCCCCCCAAAATCAGGGCAATGCTTGAGCTGAACCAAATACTACGGGCAAATGAAATCAACTTTGCGGTTCTTGCTGCGTTGCCTACTTTTTTTCTCTCTCTCTTACTTATCATGGTAGTACGTGCATGGTTCAAGCAGGTGAATGCCCTTTTCTTGTTTCTCCACATTCCCATGAAGCCAAAAGCTTATAGTTGATATGAGATATAGTAGCTCTGAATGAAGATAATATGCACTATTTGATATTAGCAAAGTAAGGTATGATATGTAGTGGAACCCTGAAGCATGATGAGATTTTGGGTGAGCAAGATGAATCGGGGATAGGTTAAACAATTCATTTAAGACAGATTCTCCCACTTATATTTTGGGATGAAGTTGCAAATTACAGCAGATTAATAGTTTCACTTGATGCATATAAGAGTTTTGATCTTTCTCTCACCCACCACCACACCCTGTGTTTTTGAAGGCAGATTACTGTTTATATGACTATTTTTCTTGGGAATTTTAAAAATTGTGGGCTGGTGGGCCAATGCCAGGTTAATGAGTTACACTTTTCATGATTTATGATATGCGTCATCGTTAAGTGTTTTGAATAATATATTTTGTTAGGTTTGACATGAAATTTTGTTTTTTTAAATAATCAGGACAAAAAAGCTGAGGGTAGAGGTAGAATTGCTCGGCTTCAAAGGAGGCTTCTTGTGGTGGAGGTTGAGAAAAGGATTATGCAATGCCAAAATTTTGCTGAGCGAGGGATGGTAAGAACCTAAACTAGCACATGTTTATATGCTATTTCTCAAAGAGTGGTTGCAGGCTATATCGATGGCTCATCATTTTCAGAGAAATAGAGAATTTCTTTACATCATGTTAAGAAATTGCTTCCCTGTCTATCTCCTTGATCATTCTTATAGTCACATTCATTTTCTTTCATTAATCGTCTGCATCTCTTCCATTTCCCCACGCCCCGATTCTTGAGCTTGCACATTTAGGGGGCATATCTAGTGAATGGAGTGTTCATAAATGGTGAGTGATGGAAATAATGATCTTAGGGTCTTGAATTAGCATTCAAGCTTAAAAGTATTCACATTATTAGGCTTTTTTATTTTATTTTTGTGATGGCCTTATTTACTTTCTTGGGAGTAGGGAGGGGCAGTTATTTTCAAAATGCATTTTTTTTATAAAACGTACTACATTAAAGTATTATAGTCTTAGTCTTTCTTTGTTTCTTTCTTTTTCCTTTAACAGGAGAAAGATGCACAATGCATGTTTGGATTGATATTATATAGCCTGAATCGCCTCTATAGTTCTGTAAAGGGCCATGCAGAAGCTTCTGGCGAATGGCAATAGTAAGTATTACTTGTACCATTTTGTTTCTCCCCCTTCTTTCCTCTGACCTATAAGATGACTAATTTCTTTATATATGGTGTTTTTCGGAATCTGTATGATTGCATGTTAATTAGGATGGAAAATAATGGACAAAAAGGGGAGAGGAAACAGCATTGTTTTTTTTTTTTTTTTGGTAGCATATTTAATGGTGAGAATTACTACATGATTCCAAGTGAAGAATGTAATTACCGAAAAGTCCTCTAGCAAATGAACAGCATGTAATGCTCACTTGTCATTAGAACTTTTTAATAGGCACATTCCTTTCTTGGGACCTCATAATATTTCTCTCTATTAATTTCTTGATGTTTTTGGGGGGGAAAAGAGCTCTCTTTTTTTAAATATATATTAACGTTCTGAAGTGGTGGTGTTATTTAAATCTCTCATTTTAAATTTCTCTTCTTTGGATGCTTTTGGAGGGGAAACTATCTAAAAAGTATTATATTATTTATTATTTCTCAAAATTGCATATCAATAAACCATATCATCTTAATCAATCATTGTCATGAATTTGTAAATATATTATGTAACTAATATCAGTAGATGAATTGTGACATAATTAACAAGTGATATTATGGACAGCTTGCGACAGGATATAATTGATCTGGCGAGTCCGAACTTGCCAACTGCATACAAGCTTACAGTGACTTCACGCATGGAGACCGTGTATGATTGCCTACTTCCTGTATTAAGTCGCAAGTAATGTGCTTTAATGTTTCTTTCTTGTTTTCCTTCTCTTTTCCTTTCCTTTATTTTTTCAAATGGTAGCTTCTCTCTTAGATCATCAATGCCATTTTTGGATTTGCAAACTGTCTGAAAATATATTAGACTTTATGAGAAGGCCAATTCTTATACTTGTAGAGCTTTTCATAATTCTTTTGACACCCAAAAAAAAAAAAAAGACTAACTCCCAATTTGATTTCGAATTCTGACTGATAGTTCTTCTATCCAAATCAAGCTATTAGCCACTTCAATAAATGTTTTCAACTGATCTGGTCAATCCATTCTTTAATCCCGACTTTTCTTAATATTTGTGAATTAAATAAATATGTTCTATGGTTAGGACCCAAGAACATATAATTCAATTTTCTTACCATATATAAATTACTATTCAATAAATGCAAGGGAAGTAGGAAGGTCAGATGAGAGAGAAACCACCATATAAAAATGTTTAACTTCTCCCAGGGTGTAAAGAAAAATCTAAAAAATTGTTTAATTTTAAAATTTCAAATCAGCATTGATTATTATATTCGTGAAAAAAATGATTACACTCGAAAAGCATAACATATTTTTATAGTAATTTATAATTTAAAATTTTGTCAACTATCATTTTTTTTTTTGAATTTTTTCCTAATTGTAATATTGCTTTTGGTGCTTTTCTCATTTGATAATCCGTCGCACCGCTTGCCCCAAAATCGTAACTGAAATTATAACTCAACACTTTCGTATTAAAAGATGACTCCTTTCGTGTTTCATCAAAAGTAACTGCAACATTTTTTTAATTAGTTTTTGAAAGATTGAATTTAAAATATTTTAATAGATGATCAGAATATACCATAAATGGAGTATTCTTATCTTAAAGTTAATATTTCCTATCCTGTTGATGTGTACGTAGATATTTTTTTCCACAATGAATGGTTGCAGGTAGTTGGGTAGTCTATTCATTATTCTGAAATCGAAACAAGATGAAGGTTTTTCTTTCTTATAAAAAAAAATGATACACTTTTTCATACTTCCTCCTGTTATAATTATATTACTTTAATCGTATTCGGACAACATTTAATTGATTTGTGCTTAATTTTGATATTTAATTATATCACTTTAAGTAAAAAAGCAAACTTTAATTCATTTGGTACAATTAGGCGAGTTGGCCCAAAGGAGGAAGTTAAATAACTTTTGACTCCCTTGGACAACGAAAATAGTATAAGAAATTGCTTTCCCACCAGAGTCCAAAGTCATTTAACGCTGTCCTTCCTTTTCTGGGAATGCAATTCGAGTTCTTCTTCCAACTTACTTGATCAAGTTAATTAAGTTAAACAAATAAATCAAATTAATTATTTGGGAAAAAAAGTTTTTTAATTGATCATTTAATTATTTGCATTGAAAATTACCTTTTTGAAAATCTTTCTTAACATATGAAATCAACAATTATAGTTGAAGAAAAAATTATAAATTTAGCAGCTAAAAGTGGATTTGAATTTTATATTTAGTATTAAAGCAACCCCTAATTAACTTTTATATTTAAAATCAAAAGAAATATTTAATATGAAATATTTCAAAATTCTAAAATAATTTTATATAGATGGGTAATGCTATTATAGTAGTAACTTGCCATCCACTTTGATTTTCCACTTACACTAGTCTTACTAAATATTAAATAGAAGGGAAATATTCTCTTATTGATAAATAAATCACTTCAGTCAAAATTTTAAGGATATTTTGGGAAAAATTCTATATATCTACGTACTTAAAACTTTTAACTAAATAAATCGCTTTAGTCCCATTTATCAACAGCATTGCAAATTGCAAGTCTTTTCCCCTAGATATGAATGATGTGGTTGAGATATCACAAGCAATATTTTTTCACATTTCTTTCTTTTTGTTTTCTTTGCCGAAGCATACTTTTTCTCTTTCATACCATATATCACCGCTAGTAGTCTTTTTACAGAAAGCCCTCATAGTCTATAACTTTACTATGATGAGGAGAAACTGCTGCAAAGGCTTCTGTATGATGAAGATCAAAGAGTGATCGTTATCTCGGGCATGGGAGGCTTTGGAAAAACTACAAGTTTCCATCTCAGGTATAAGGTATCTTATGATATTCGCAAACTGAATAAAGATACCTTTACTCCTAAGGTTTTCACCACGGGCATATTAGACTACAGAAGATGGAAAAATACAAGTTGGAGAAGGACCATGGCACAAGGCCTTGAAGCGCTCCAGGTTTTTAATTTCTAGCTTTAGCAACCTGAAGAAACAGGGCACAAATAGTGCAGCAATCAAAACAAGGATCCTCATCGTGAACTCCTCCTTTCAATTACTCCCCATTTCTCTTGTGCGTCTTATATCAATTATGTTAGCAATCTGAAGTAGTTGGAAGGAGAAGGGCTTCAACGCCTTACTTCTTTTTAAGAATTATACATCTGGGACAACTGCTTCACAGTGCAGATTCTTAAGCTTTATGGCTGACTTGAATCAAAAGTGGTTCTCAAAATATTCAAACTCTGAAAGCAACAAAAACCTTTGAAGACCGACATACATATTTTTAAGGTCGGTAGTAAAGACCTGAGCCCTTTTTTGTTTTTTTTACAATTTATATTATCTTTAGTTCTTAGTATAAGATCTAATTTATAATTCAATTTGAATTATAAAAAATTATCTTGCTTTTGTGCTCGAGAGGAGGATATGTGTGTGTGTGTGTGTGTGTGTAAGATAATGATGATTTGAACCCAAAACCTCTTTATATTATTGTGGTCTCATTTTTCTACGCTGCTGGTTAAGTTAAAGTTGTACTGAGTAATGCTGTTAAAGCTTGAATGGCATCCTTAGACTTTCAATTCTTCTCTTGGACCATCGAATATAGCTAATGTCCTTTATTTAATTAACATAATTATCAGTCTGTTGTAAGTGAATTTCAATTTTATTTTTATGTTTACTTTGAGCCATTGGGTATCAAGCTCAATCCAAAACTCATTATTTGTATAAACCTAACGCATTTCTACTCCACCAACGCAATAAAGATGCTTTTTTTTTTTTTTAGTTCATGAGGGGCTCATGTAAGTTTAGCTTGTATTGTAATTAATTTTCTTTATTATAGGTTAAGGCTTGAATTATTTCATACTAGTCATCTCACTTTCTATAATACATTAATTCCTAAAATACCTACCACTCCCTTGAAGAAGAAAGAGATTAAAAAGAAAAAAAGAAAAAAACATTATTCCACTTACGTATGTTCGTAACTTCGTGTGTGAAAATGCAGGTTACAAGCGGATCTAGGTTAATTTGACCCACACAGACCATTTAAAAAACATCTTGATTCTTGAACTTGAAATAACTTTCGAAGGTAGCAATTTTGGACCAATATAACTCGTACAAGCGGGTTAAAAAAAAACTCTTGGAAAAAAAAAATTTGACTTTTTAGACTGAATGTAAAAGTTGTAATGATATTTTACAAAAATGTCAGCGTTCACATATTTTACATCATTGCCACATGTCCGACGCAAATAACTGCAAAAGGCAAAAATTTGTCAGACCTACTATTCTCCTTGAAAAAAAAACTCACAATAATAAGTAAATAGCATGTAACAACAAATTTTATTATCGAAACCTACTACTCCTTCGATCCTTAATATAAGATATAAGACTCATTTAATTAATTTGATTAAATTAAAAAAATTAGGTAAATTAGTTAATTATAAGAAATGTGACATGTTTTTTCTAAAATATCATAATCATCTTTCTTAATACCCACTTTCCCTCTTTCATTTGATTATGGTTGAGAGAGTATCTATAGGGGTAATTTAGAAAAAATTAATAAATGTGAGAAATAGGCCTTATATTTAGGACCAAAACCAACTTAATAATTGGGTCCTATATTAAGGACCAGAGGAGTATTTATTATTAGGATTTTTTTAGACCTAATAACCTTATAATTTCTTTGAATTTATCGGAGTTAGATTGGGAGGGCAGTGATGAAATGGAACATTTGGAAGTTAGGGTACAAAAATATCTCAGCTAGTGAGTAGGGCAGTCTTCTTGGCGAAAGGATAGTGAAGTTATGATGAATGACCCACCACGATCATTCTTTTATGCTTATACGCATCTTTATATTAATTACTGATATTTATGGAAAGTAAGTAATTAATATTTTAAAAAATGTGTATGTAACTTTCTAAAATATGTCAAACAGACAAAAAAGCTTTCTCTTTCTTCTAATGATTCTCTTAAATAAATTCATGATAAGGACACAATTCATATATATATGAATTCAAATTGTAATGATGTGGTTGATATATCACTGCCCATACTTGTTCTCTTTCATACATTATCAGTACCGGTAATAGTTTGATCACCCATTATTAAACACATTTTTTTGTACTCTCATTATATTCTTTTATTTAATTTCTTTAAATAAAAGCAAATTTTTTATTAATATGATAGGCCATTCACAATAAATTACCTCTTGTTTTTATTTTGAATAGACTGCCAATCTAACATTCAGTTCATTGTCTAGAATGTATCTTCCACCGGTATGGTTGAAATAAAATATATGGTCACCAAAAAAAAATATCTACTCATCTAAATTAAAGTTACACATAAATTCTTCAAACGTGTCTCTGGCAAGTTGTGATTCTTCCTTTCCTCTATCAGATCAATTTCACTTGGGGATGAATTATATTCCAAGCTAGAAGAAACATCCCCAAGGCTTCAACTCGTGCAAGAGCATTATGATGATTTGAAGGCTTGGGCATGTGTTTCTGATGATTTTAATGTTCTCGAGGTGACAAATAATCTTGTTTTTTGAGTCTATCACTTTAGAAGTCAACCATATATGTAGTACAAATCTATACGTCCTCCATGTTGAATTTAAAAATAGCTTGAGGAACAAGAAGTTTTGTATTGTGTTAGATGACCTGTTGAATTAAAAACATATAGTGACCGGAAGGATCTTATAACTCCTTTTCAAAATGGAAGAAGGGGAAGCAAGATCAACTCAGCAACAAAGAATCACACATACATTTTCTGTATATAAATTGAGCTGTCTCTAAGATCATGATTGCTGGTTTTTACTCTTGAAGCATGCATTTGTAAATGACGATCCAAACAAATATCCAGTGTTAGAAGCAATTGGAAA